AAAAGAAGTTCACAGATGACCTGAATGTCCCCGAGGCTCGAGGTGCGTTTCACATCGTACATGATGACGAAATCTCCATCGATCAGTGTTCCATCACAGCCTGGACATTTTCTCTGCTGATCCAGACTGGGCGAGAAGGCAATGTGTGCCTAAAAGTAGGAGCAAACCTAGAGATCAACCAACTCGAAAATGACAAGCGGTGAGGAACGCGTCCCTCTGAGGCTCGTTCCCATTGAGAGTTTGCGATATTGATCGTCACCAAGGCCGCGCTACGCCGCGTGATTAAAAACAAACACGTGGACTTGGATAGTTTCAGATCGGAATCGGGCCTCTGTCAAAGGCGGATACAAATCTGATATGTAGCAGATAGCCGCCAAGCCAGCGCAATGTCACATAAACTACGTCGAGGAAAGCTTGACGTCTTACAAATACCGTGTATGGTGATGTAAAAAGAAAAATCCGATTTTGAGGGTCGCAAAACGTACCTTCTTCTCGGTGACAGTTTTTTCCACCAGGGGGAGCAGCTCATTGGAGAGGAACGTGGCATGGGTCTCGACGTAAGCGATGCCTTGAGGCTCGTAGATGTTTGCGACGATCTGATTCAAAGACGTAAAGCAATTGTCACGCTTGATTCGGCAGCGGTTGCGGGGATCGGTCAAGGAAGATGCGCTGACCTGAAACTCCTGGACAAGTTGTTTGGGTTTCACCCGGGTCAGGATCTCATACTGGCCCAATTTCCGCTGAAGCAGCTCCTCGTGGGTCAAAACGAAAGTCACGTTACTTTCGGCCGCGATGTTGACCGACACCGAAAATGTCTCCATCTTCCTGCCGGAAGCCCTGCGTCGGAGCACCACATCAGTCGCGGGCGACGTGATCCGGGAAAACCTTTCGTTTGCCCTCGCCGACTTACTTGACCAGCCCGGCCGTCTGTCCTGAGGAAACGGCCTTTTCATACTGTTTCTTGGCTGTCTCTTTCTCCTTCACCTCTCCCACGTACACTTGGCCATCGATTTCCCTGAGAAAGGTGAAGAAAGCGTCAGACCGAAGCGCCCCGGCTCGCAACGGACATGAAGTGCGTTCCTGGTCACGTAATAGGAAAGCAAGGCTTGGGGGGGGGTTTGGCGCCGTGTGCCGAACCATGACC